TGCAGCACACCAACATGGCACAAGTATACATATGTAACAAACCTGCACGTTATGCACATGTACCCTAGAACTTAAAGTATAATAATAATAATATATAAATAAAAAGTCCAAAAACAACAGATGCTGGTGAGGTGGCAGAGAAATGGAAATGTTTTTATGCTGTTGGTGGGTATGCAAACTAGGTCAGTCACTGTGGAAACCAGGTTTGATATTTTTGAAGGAACTTAAAATAGAACTACAAGTTGACCCAGCAATCCCACTATGGAGTATATGTCCCAAAAATATTCATTCTATCAAAAAGACACACACCCCAATATGTTCACTGTAGTGCTATGCACAATAGCGAAGAAATGGAATCAACTTATGTGCCCATCAACAGTGGATTGTATGAGGAAAATGTAAATATACACTGATATGGTTAGGCTGTGTCCCCACTCAAATCTCATCTTGAATTGTAGCTCCCATAATTCCCACATGTTATGGGAGGGACTCAATGGGAGGTAATTTAATCACGGAGGCAGGACTTTTCCATGCTCTTCTCGTGATAGTGAATAAGTCTCTACCAGAGACTTATTGTGAGGCCTTTCCAGTCATGTGGAATTGAGAGTCCATTAAACCTCTTTCCTTTATGAATTACCCTGTCTCAGGTATGTCTTTATTAACAGCATGAGAACAGACTAATACATACACCATGGAATGTTATGCCGTCATAAGAAAGAACAAAAATTATGTTTTTTGCAGGACGATAGATGAAGTGGGAGGCCATTATCCTAAGCAATCTAACACAAGAACAGAAAACCAAATACCACATGTTCTCACTTATAAGTGGGAGGTAAGCATTAAATACACAAGAACTTAAAGATGGGAACAATAGACACTGAGGATCACTAGATGGGGGAGGGAGGGAAGGGATGTGGGCTGAAGAACCATCTGCTGGGTAATATGTTTACTGTCAGTGTGATGGAATAGCTGGGACCCCAAGCCTCAGCGTTATACAACTTACCTATGTAACAAAACCTGTATTTGAACCCTTTAATCTATAATGAAAGTTGACAAAAAATCTTGTAGAACTCTATAGGTTAGTAACTGTTCAAAAAAAAAGGCCTAATTCTTATTTGTAATTAGGTTATTGTCATTTCAATGGGGGATACTGACAGAGGAGAAAAAAAGAATATTTCTTATCTGCAGCATAAGCAAAAGTCCTTAAAAGTAAATTTCTAAAGTAAAGTTGTACATAAAAGATACAATTATTGGCCCCCTTCAAAAAAATCTTATTTTGTCCAACACCAATTTCATGGAAACTGTCTCAGGTACATATTCTGCCTAAATGGAACATTCTTTAGGTACCTCTTCTAGTAAACAGAATTACCTTCCTTATAAATCTAACTTTTTAGAATACTTAGCAGACTAGGAATTTTCTCAGGCAGACTCGCTACATTTCTAGGATTACCATTTATCTTTCAATAAGTGGAGTTTCCAATTTCCCTACTCCAGCATTCGAACCTGAAATTTTGAGAATGAGAAAAGTTATCTTCAAAAACATACTTGCTATTTAAAAATGGGCTACTCATAATAAAACCAACATGTAATCTTGTCTCTTCCTGCCATAAATTATTATCTGTTTTTTTCAGAGATGCCCTACCCACCTTGGACCAGAGCTCTATTGCTTTTGCTACTGCTGTCTGTCTCCATTTCTCTCAGTTATCTTCCTCTACTGTGCAAACATGCCCCTTTTCCCTTTTTTTTTTTTTTTTCTTTCTGAGACAGAGTCTCACTCTGTTGCCCAGGCTAGAGTGCAGTGGCACAATCTTGGCTCACTACAACCTCCACCACCTGCGTTCAAGCGATTCGGGTGCCTCAGCCTCCCGAGGAGCTGGGATTACAGCCGTGTGCCACCATGCCTGGCTAAGTTTTGCATTTTTACTAGAGACGGGATTTGGCTATGTTGTCCAGGCTGGTCTTGAACTCCTGGCCTCAAGTGATCCACCCACCTCAGCCTCCCAAAGTGCTGGGATTACAGGTGTGAGCCACCATGCCAGGCCAAGATATCCCATTTTAATCACACCATTAGTTTGGAGCAGATTACAGCTGGGAGCAGAGTTTAAGTAATGAAGCTTCTCTAAGAGAAACAGGAAGGAGGACACTAGCAACACCTTCCCAACATCTTTTCTGAAAGTCAATTAACTCTTTATCTGTGATCATACCTGTGACCTCTGGGTGCTTCAGTAGGAGAAGGAGAGCATATCTCAGGGTTGTGCTTGTCGTCTCTGTCCCAGCTGTAAACAAGTCAACTGCAGTGTTTTCCAAGTTTTCAATAGTAAATTCAGACTGCTGGTTGTGCTTTTCCTAGGAATGATTTGATGCAATTATCTGACAAATTATTTACCAGCATGTTTGATTACAGTGAGTTCAAAATTACTCACATTGTTATATAGTTACCAATATAGAAACTGGAAAGCATACTACTAGAAAAAAAATACTGTATGGTGTAGCAGAAGCTGTAAACCAACTTGCCCAAATTTTATTTTCTACCCCCTTATTCCATGCTTGCCTAAAAATTCCATTCATCAGGCTCTTTGCAGCTAGCAGAGTCACACAGCATTTTTTGTTTGTTTGTTTTTTTCCCAAAAGATATAAGCAGAAGGTCTCTAGGTCCACTTTCATTTCCTCTTTCATACTCAAAACACAAATGTGAAGTAGGAGGTAGAATAGACCCCATCCTGGGATTTAATCATGAAAATGAAGGTCTGTATACTAAATTTAGTGGGGAAAAAAGGAAGGCCCTTGACTCTCTGATGCTTTGGGGTTGCTGTATTATCCCTAGATTGCCCCACCGTGAGATTCCCTGTATTTGAGATATATAAAGACATTATGTGATAAAGCCATTATTACCTGTAGACAACTACAATCTAAATTAGTAAAAAGGTAAATTAGGGCCATATCATTAGATACTGTGAGCCTGAATCAAGAGTCTGCAATTATCTTCTTCTGTCAGAAAGGTACATGGACTCAATATTGCCTCCAGATTCATTATAAAGTTAAAATTTTGTAAAAGTAAATATGAAAAAAGCAATATGACAGCAAAACCTAGGATAAATTATAGAGAAAGAGAATGGGTTTACAATGACAAGACGGGCCCACACTATTATAATCGAGATGGGAGGCAACAGACAACTTTTTCTAGGGTGCAGTAGTGCAGGAATAAATAAAAATATACAAAATGAAGAGAAAGGACAATGATGAATATGGAGAATAAAGGGATTAATTGTCACAGGGGATAAAGGAGAGAGAGAGGGTAATGCATATGCCACGGCTCAAAGACTGGAGTTTCCATAATTTGGAAGTTAGGAGAAAGAAAGCAACGAATAAGGAATACTTAGTTGAAAGAGATCATCAATATACAAAACATATTACTTTTTAACCAGTCTCTAGGCCAGTAATAAATTAATTACATTTTCAGAGTCTCCAAGTGACATGTGTCACGTTGAATATTGTTTAATCAACACCACTGAAATAGACTAGATCCTCTCAACATGTCTACTTACTAGATGAAGACAGTCCTCTCCCTTGGTAACATCAGCTTCACACAGTTTTCTAAGCTTGTCATGTTAAAAATTACTCTTACGTAAGAACAGTGCACTCACAAACCAGTATTAACATTTCCATCTGTTGACTTGAGCTTGGTTATTTAGCAGTTATGTGCCTATCTTACCTTATTAATGATAGTAGCCATATTCTACTTGCTGGGCTCAAATCTAAAGAGCACCCCTCTACCTCAGAGGCAGGCCAGGGCATTGTCCTGCACCTCACCCTCAGAAACAGACTCACAGCTACAACTCAGTCTGTGGGCTTCAGCTGCTAGGGTGTGCTATAGAGTTACAGATCTTGGCTCTGTGGGCAATCTACATTCAACCCTGCCACAGAGAGTGAACCTGTACCCCAAGACCCAGGTGTCACAGTACCTGATTAAAAGACCTTGAGTCTAGAGTAATGCTTCTATGACAACTTCAAGGACATATACCTGTAACCCAGCAACAATGCAGCTGCATGTATGCCATGTCAGAGTTGACATCAAAAGGAATCCCTTAGGCTAAGTCACCCCAATTTTAGGAAAATAAAAATAGGACACCCAAATACTTTGACACCAGGGATATTAACAACCTACACTACTCCTGACACTGCTGCAAACTTCTACAGCCTAGGCCACCGAGGCACCCAAAACTATTCCTGATGTTGACCACAGCTAGAGAAACTACACAGATACTATCACACGGCATCTATTCAAAAACTGACTTACCCACTCTTCATCACCTGCACACAAACACTCAACTTCAGATGAAAGTCTTCCTTTATGAAATCCACTCTAGAAACTGGAATAGCCATTGTCCCACCACATGCATAGACATCAATGCAGGGACAAAACATGAAAAATCAAGAAATATTACACCACCAAAAAGACGTAATAACTCTCAAATAACAGAACTCGATGAAAATAAAATCAACATATATTCAAAAAAGAAACTCAAAATAATTACCTTGAAGAAACTAAATCAGGGGGGTGGCTGGCAAGATGGCCGAACTGGAACAGTTTCCATCTGCAGCTCCCAGCAAGATCAACAAAGAAGGTAAGTTATTTCTGCATTTCCAACTGAGGTACCCAGCTCCTCTCATTGGGACTGTTTAGGCAATAGGTGCAGCCCACAGAGGGCAAGCCAAAGCAGGGTTGTGCGTCACCTCACCCGGGAACCCCAAAGGGTCAGGGAACTCCCTCCCCTAGCCAAGGGAAGCAGTGAGGGACTGTGCCATGAAGAATAGTGCACTCTGGCCCAGATACTATGCTTTTCCCATGGTCTTTGCAACTTGCAGACCAGGAGATTCCCTCAGGTGCCTACACAACAAGAGCACTGGGTTGCAAGCACAAAATTGGGCACCCATTTGCACAGACACCAAGCTAGCTGAAGGAGATTTTTTTCATACTCCAGTGGCACCTGGAACACCAGTGAGACAGAACTTTTCACTCATCTGGAAAGGGGGCTGAAGCCAAAGAGCCAAGTGGTCTTGCTCAGCAGATCCCATCCCCATGGAGCCCAGCAAGCTAAGATCCACTGGCTTGAAATTCTCGCTGCCAGCACAGCAGTCTGAAGTTTACCTGGGATGCACGAGCTTGGTGGGGGAAGGGGCATCCACCATTACTGAGGCTTGAGTAGGTAATTTTCCCCTCACAGTGTAAACAAAACGGCTGGGAAGTTCGGACTGGCCAGAGCCCACTGCACCTCAGCAAAGCAGCTGTAGCCAGACTGCCCCTCTAGATTCCTCCTCTCTGGGCAGGGCATCTCTGAAAAAAACGCAGCAGCCCCAGTCAGGGGCTTATAGGTAACGCTACCATCCCATTGGGGCAGAGCACCTGGGGGAAGGGGCAGCTGTGGGTGCAGCTTCAGCTGACTTAAATGTTCTGGCCTGCTGACTCTGAAGGGAGCAGCAGATCTACCAGCACAGTGCTTGAGCTCTACTAAAAGACACACTGCCTCCTCAGGTGGATCCCTGAGCCCCATGGCTTCTGATGGGAGACACCTCCAAGCAGGGGTTAACAGACACCTCAGAAAGGAGATCTCTGGCTGGCATCTGGTGGGTGCCCATATGAGACAAACTTCCAGAAGACGGAAGAGACAGCAATCTTTGCTGCTCTGCAGCTTCCGCTGGTGATACCCAGGCAAACAGGGTCTGGAGTCAACCTCCAGCAAACCCCAGCAGACCTGCAACAGAGGGGCTTGACTGTTAGAAGGAAAACTAACAAACAGAAAGCAATAGCATCAACACCAACTAAAAGGATGTCCACACAAAAACGCCATCTGAAGGTCACCAACATCAAAGACCAAAGGTAGATAAATCAATGCAGATGAGGAAAAACCAGTGCAAAAAGGCTGAAAATTCAAAAAAACAGAACACCTCTTCTCCTCCAAAGAATCATGACTCCTCACCAGCAGGGAACAAAACAGGACAGAGAATGAGTTTGATGAACTGACAGAAGTAAGCTTCAGAAGGTGGGTAACAATAAACTCCTCTGATAGAAAGGAGCATGTTCTAACCCAATGCAAGGCACCTAAGAACCTTGAAAAAAGGTTAGATGAATGGCTAACTTGAATAACCAGTTTAGAGAGAAGATAAATGACCTGATAGAGCTGAAAAACAAAGCACAAGAACTTCATGAAACATACTTAAGTATCAATTGCTGAATCGATCAAGTGAAAGAAAGGATATCAGAGATTAAAGAACAATTTAATGAAATAAAGCCTGGACACAAGATTGGAGAAAAAAATGAAAAGGAATGCACAAAGCCTCCAAGAAATATGGGACTATTTGAAAAGACCAAACCTACGTTTGATTGGTGTGCCTGAAATTGATGGGGAAAAGGGAACCAAGTTAGCACACACTCTTCAGGATGTTATCCAGGAGAATTTCCCCAACCTAGCAAAATAGACCAACATTCAAATTCAGAAAAAACAAAGACCACCACAAAGATACTTCTTGAGAAGAGTAACCCCAAGACACATAACTGTCAGATTCACCAAGGTTGAAATGAAGGAAAAAATGTTAAGGGCAGCCAGAGAAAAAGGTCGGGTTACCCACAAACGGAAGCCCATTAGACTAACAGTGGATCTCTCTGCAGAAACCCTATAAGCCAAAAGAGAGTGGAGGCCAATATTCAACATTCTTAAAGAAAAGACTTTTCAACCCAGAATTGTATATCCAGCCAAGCTAAGCTTCAAAGTGAAAAAATAAAATAAAATCCGTTACAGACAAGTAAATGCTGAGAGATTTTGTCACCACCATCTTGCCTTACAAGAACCCCTGAAGGAAGCACTAAATATGGAAAGGAACAACTGGTACCAGCCACTGCAAAAACATACCAAATTGTAAAGGCCATTGACACTATAAAGAAACTGCATCAACTAATGGGCAAAATAACCAGCTAGCATCATAATGAAAGGATCAAATTCACACATAACAATATTAACCTTAAATGTAAATGGACTGAATGCCAAAGTTAAAAGACAGAGACTGGCAAATTGGATAAAGAGTCAAGACCCATCAGTGTTCTGCATTCAGGAGACACATCTCACATGCAAAGACACACCTAGGCTCAAATTAAAGGGATGGAAGAAGATTTACCGAACAATTAGAAAGCAAAAAAAAAAAAGCAGGGGTTGCAATCCTAGTCTCTGATAAAACAGACTTTAAACTAACAAAGATTAAAGAAAAAGACAAAGAATGGCATTACATAATGGTAAAAGGATCAATGCAACAAGAAGAGCTAACTATCCTAAATGTATATGCACCCAATACAG